GAGGGGAAGGTGAATAACTATGGTCAACACACAGAGAGTGCACAATCGAACTCTGCATGCTTATTGTTTCAAGCATTCTGACCTGATAAGAAACGACAACAAGTACGCCACTGCTGTCGGTTTGCTGCCATATGTCTCCAACCAACCAGTTGTGGAGTCTTTCGGACCCCAAACTGGAAGGCGACACACCTACTCTACCTAATGGCTCCGTACATTTTTTCTTGCTTCGTCTCCACGTCATCTGTTGACCTCCACATGGTTTCCTCCAGCCCGGAGCGGCTACGGAGAATAAAGTGCGGCGCGGCAGACGACAGCTTGATATACGCCATGCGTGCCCTAGCCAGCGAAGTCTACTAATCTAAATTCGATGTGCTAGCAGGTTTACACCTACTAGACTTCCAAAAACACGGCTTATCTCCAAATTACTAACCCGTTCGTACTCTATATTGAACAACAGACGGGGTGAATCCCCTAATGTGGCCATGCACACTAGGCCCCACTAGGATAGCCGTGGTATTGAACCGAATGAAAGTAAAGGTGCCTTCCCTTCAAATTTGGGTATCACCGGCGGGGTTCGAACCTCGGGCAATGGAATGCAAAGCATGCCGGTGACAATAACCACATCACCGGACCACCGTCACTTGTATGAATATGTGGTGCACATGAATACATCGGATCGTTGGGGACAGCTATTTGCAGATCAAATGGGTATGATCAGTAGTTATCCGGTTTTAGACCGACCATCGGCATTAACACATCATGCGTCGAGGCGAGTTCTGCGTATTGTTGCTAAGCTTTTCTTGCACGTAAAAAACTACAGGTCGAGCCTTTTTATCATTTTACTCGTTTTTATTGAATATACGGTGGTGGTGGAATTCGAACACTTCCCGAGATTATTTGGTGGCACTATCACCGGACCAACGTCTTCTAATTCAGGAACGAATAAACAAATGGATCTTATTTAGCTTTCATGAAACTCTAGGTTTTTTGGGTAGCCGAGTCACTGAACCACTTCGATGTTCATAAGTTTGTTTTCGAAAACGGTGATTGCTCCAGTGGACTCGTGGAGTCAGATGGAGGTTGCATCTGATGGAGCCTGCTGATCTGCTATGATCTAACGAAAACCGGATATGTGCATGTGTCTATCCGAAGAAAGGTTTCAGATAGTAAGCAATTGAAATTTTGCCACGCATCTGGAAAAGGCTGTGTAGGAAGATTTTTTGATATACGTTTGTTGCCGACTGTTAGAGAGATGTTACTTTGTTAGGAAAATTGCCTGGAGGTATGTTGACACATTTGTCGAAATGCACACCAAATTTACGGTTGATATATGCAACGTGGGCACTGTTATCTATCTAACGAAATGATCGGTGTGCCGAAAAAACAATGGCCCGAACCGCTGCTGACAAATGCATTTGCAAATCTGCGTGGCTGAAAGAAATGGGCAAAGCAACAGGTGGAGTGTACGGTGGGAATACATACCGTGGGCAATGTCTTACATTTAGTCCTTTTCAACGGCTTTGTCCAATAGTGGAGGTGTTCAGTGAGTGTTACGACGCCGCTCTCTCTAGGAGGTTCAGAGGAGCCTTTGCTAGGGAGATGTTTCTTACATGTGTTCCGCTCAAGTCGTTAAGATCATCCAAGCAGCTGCCTGGAAGTCCCGAGTTCGAATCCCTTTGTCCATTTTTTCATATTTCTGTATTTCCCTGGGCAGCACATGTTCGACCTCAGCCCACTTCCTAAAGTCTGTCCGGAATCATATATCAGTAGGATTGTGGGTCACCTCTGATACTGCGACGTGCAATTATTGCCATGCACTTTGAGGATTAGTTGTACAGTTCAGATCATATCTTTCGCAGTTTGGGACAGTCCCCCCTTCCCCCAAGCGAGCAGCATTAGCATGGCTTCATTTTCTATAATCAATAAAAACGGTAAGATCCAGCATTAGCACTCTGTTGTCCAACGTTTGCACTCAAATTAGAGAACGGCATTTGTAACACGTACTGATCAGCAAACTGAGCGTCATTCAACGTCTTGTGTGATGTGTTTTTACAAATCTGAGTTGCCGGGGTGAATGACTTTATGGGATTTATTTCGGAGCGTGATGTGTCATAGTGTAATGTGAACGGACAGTCAGCTGACGCCATTCGCATGCACACACACACGCACGTACGCATGTCATAGAACATTTGAATTTACTCCGGTTATCTGACAAGGGCTCACGCTCACTCTGGTATCGATTTAACCTCATCGATCCCTTTCATGAGATCGGCCTGTAAGCTAACAATTTCATTCACTAAACGATCCACTCATCAAACGGTTGTTTTGTGCCTCCCAGCGGACGGGTCATAACATAATGAACTTTTAATGCTTGGTCTGCTTGCGCCCCATGAGACTTTACCACAAAGCAACATTTTTAATGAAAATCGCTGCTATGGTTCCTCGCCTTTTTTCATTGCGTGGTCTTATCGAGCCCATATCAGGTTGCACAAAGCCATGATCGCGGCCAATCGTGCGTCCCGATTTCTTTCGGCAGTATGCTGATGAATTACACACGCACCAGTGCGATCTTGATGAAAACGAAAACGCTTGTCTCCTTTCACCTCTTCGGCGAATAAGAGGCATGTGTCATGTAGGTGTTCCGTATGTACATTCATACTCCTGCTCTGGGAACAACTCTATCCGGAGCTTGCTTAAATGCAGCTCCGCTTCCTAAATATATTCTTTTCTTTGGTAACCGATTCCGGATGTTGACCACTCTGGAATTGATGATCTTGGCAAGGTAAAAGCGAAGGTTCCATTTAGTGTGTATGTGGGTAGAGATTTGTGTCCTAGAAGTGGTTATTTGGCATCGTTTTGGACAGGTTCTCACACTATCTTGTATCTTGCGTAAGGTCTTTATTTGTGTTGTGACTGCATCCAATGAGTGAGTCGCGTCCTGATCCATTCCGCTGTTGTTTACGACACCCAGCCATATCACTCATTGTCTCTAACCATCGGGTACGATCATCCCGAGGTCCCAATCCAGGAAGCCTGACGGGACCTAT